AGGTGCAGCTGGCAAGCAAAAAAACCGCAACTATGCAGCGCCGGAAGACTGCTGAAGTCTGGCTGGCTTCGAGAACCAACAGGACCGTACACCTGCGGAAGCTAGCGCAGCTTGTTGAAGTCAAATTCCGAGCTTTTTCTGCTAGATGTGTATACTATATAATAGTCAAGTTCCGAGCTTATACTGCCAGGATGTTTATACTGTAGAATCGTAGCATACTATCCAAAAGAAAACCCCTCCAGTAACCAGGAGCTTCTCCGGGGCACCTTATCCACCGGCCGGCAGCAGGCTTCCGTGAGGCCCTCTCGTCTCCTGGGACAAGGAAAGCGGTTTAGGGTTTAGGGCTTTAGGGTTTAGAGTTTAGGGTTTAGAGTTTAGGGTTTAGAGTTTAGGGTTTAGGGTTTAGGGTACCCAAGGATCCCTTTAAGGGGCTCCTTCAAGGGGTTTTAGGGTTTCGGGTTCAGGGGCTCCTTATGCTCCTTTAACGGGTTTCGCGTTCAGGGTTGAATCCCTGACACCCGCAAGCTCCAAGCCAGAAACCTACAGCCCAAAACCTTAAACCCCAAACCCCAACCAAACCCTAGTGAGGCAAGAGTCCTGCAGCAGCACATGGGGCCCGATAGTCCACATGCTCGGCACACGGAAGGCAACCGCGGCTTTAGGGTTTAGAGTTTGCGGTTTAGGGTTGAGGGTTGAGGGTTGGGGGGTTTCCATACTGCCACGACAAGTGACAAAATTAACTTCAGCAGCAAACAGTCTTCGAAACGAAGCTGCCAACAATCTTAAAACGATTTCGAGCGACCTGCTGCTGACGAAACACAATCTGGCGCTGTCCATTCACTAGTCAAGAGTTCTACCGGCAATGGTCCGGCAACAAGCTATCAGTCCTTCGAGACACTGGTGGATACTTTCAGTTGCACCGGGCTACGAGTTCAAACCCTCCAACATGTGACCCACATCTCTCGACCTTCAACCCTAAAAACTTACAAATAAAAGCTTCAACCGTAAGCCCAAAACCTTAAACCCTAAAACCCTAAACCCTCTCAACAGGGTACATTTGCTGACAAGCTGGAGACCGTGGCGAGAACCCCAGGAAGCAAGAGTCTATGGGGCTTGATATGCAGGATTGGGGCTTAGGGCTTAAGGATATGAAGGTTTCAAACAGATTTTGTATAGGCTCTCTTACACAAAAAAACCCTGTACCCTCATCCCCGAAACACTAAACCCTGTACCCTCATCCCTGAACCGCATAAACGCAAGTCTGGTCATCCGCACTAGACTCGCACTCCAACAGGGTCAGCCACAACCTTTGCCTCAGGGCCCTAGGGTTGTTTTAAGGATAGACAGATACGAAGCCTTCTAACCTAAATTACGGTCTTGTGGGTAAGCATGGGTCAGCGATATATAGTTACATCTGTCTGATGAGAGCATAGGACCTTTGCAGAATGGCTCGGCCATCTTGAGGCTGCAACTGGCAAAAACGGCGCGGAACGTCAACGATCTGCTGAGAAACTTGGCATTACCCTAAACCCTAAACCCTAAGCCGCCTAAGCCCTTCAGTCCGTCTAGGTTTCCAGCCGTGGCGCTGGGCCTTCAAAATGTTGGCACACTGTTCAAGCGCTGCTTTTTTGCCTCATTGTGCTCTTATGGCATAAGTCATCGCCTGGTCCTAAACGTCTAAAGCTCCGTGGAACCACTGCCCCTCAAGGACGACAAGGAGCGCAAAGCAAAATGTGCATGAAGCGCTGTGCCCAGATCCAAAACTCCCTCGTCCAGAACGTAGCGCGGGCTGTGGACAGTTGTGTTTGTTGGATACTTCTCTGGTCGTGTCCCCTCGCCGTCTTCCAGCTTGCCCGAGCCCTGTCCGAGAAAAACGAAGGCTGCAGGGACATCCTGTGCAAAGAAGGAGAAGTCCTCGCTTCCCATTGTGGGCTCCATGTCCCAATGCATTGGTACACCATTCTTCTCTATGCCCACCGCGGGAGACCCCAACCATCGCCACAAACCAGGGTCATTCACTGTAGCGGGAAACGGGTCCGGCTGAAACTTGAGCCTCGCTACGCTGCACCTGTGCGCGGTGGCGACGCTCTCCACAACCTCAAGCATCCGGCTTCGCAAGAGGCCCAGGCTGGCCTCGCTCAGGGCACGCATGGTACCTCCGAGTGTGGCTTTGGCGGGGATCACATTGTAGGCATCACCTGCATGTAGCATCGTGATGCTGAGCACCGCCGAATCACGCGGGTCTGTTTCACGTGACACAAGTGACTGGAGGCTTTGGACGATGGCCGCCGCAGCAACCACTGGGTCGACACCAAGGTGCGGCATAGCCCCGTGCCCTCCCTTACCCACGATGTCAAGCTCGAAGAAGTCCCCAGCAGCCATTGTGACCCCAGCCCTGCCACCGATACTGCCGCTGGGAAGGGCTGGCCACACATGCAGACCGAACACCCTCGACACGCCCTTCAGCACGCCTTCCTCCCGCATGCGTTTCGCGCCTGCCCCACCCTCCTCCGCAGGCTGGAAGATGAGACGGACAGTTCCAGGCAGCTCGTCAGCGACTTCCTTCAGGAGCTTCGCAGCCCCGAGGAGCATTGAAGTATGGCCGTCGTGGCCGCAGGCGTGCATGCGGCCAGCATGCTTCGAACGGTAAGGTAGGGCAGTTGACGGTATCTGCTCCTCTATGGGCAAGGCATCAATGTCGGCGCGCAGCGCGACGACAGGCGTGCCAGAGCCTATGTCTGCCACCACCCCAGTGCCCCCAACTCCTGGGATTCGGTCTTGGCGGGTGTTGTTAGCCCAGCCTGCTGTGAAGGAGATGCCCAAGTTGTCCAACACTCCCTGAATGTACTTGGATGTCTTGTGCTCCTGCAGAGCTCTTGTTAAGGAACTTGGTTTAGGCTACCATGGTAAGGAAACTAAGAAAACCATATCTGTCATCTACCATAAGCCATAGGTCCCGATATGGTAGCTTAAACCCGAAACCCTAAGCCCTAAAACCCTAAACCCTAAACCTCAAGCCCCAAAAGCCCCAACCCCAAAAACCCAGCCTGGTACATCAACTCTGGCTCCGAGTGCAAAGCACGCCGCCAGCCAATGATGTCGCTGCGGATCTTGGAAGCCTGCTCCTGGAGGGACACGAACAAGGTCTAGGGCTTAGAGCTTTGTGTTTGAGGTCTAAGGGTTAAGGTGTAGGGTTTAGGGTTTAGGGTTTAGCGTATAGGAGTGCCTTATTCTTGATTTTGAGAGCTTGTTCCAACTGCATGACCCATGTCTGTCAGAAGCCTTTGAAGGGAGCGTGCACTTGTGAGTCCGCAACACTCCCTCTTTCAGTCAGGGTCGATGTCAGCCACCCTTCTGAACCCGGAGTGCAGCAATCCTGTAGCCACCCAAGAAGAGCCGACGGTGGTGTGTTCTGAACAGGGTTTATGGTTTAAAGATTAAAGTGGAGAGCGCTTAATCATGAAGGTTTCTCCTGAACGGATGCGAAGTCGGAGTTGACGTTCAACCTCCCGTTCACCGACAAGAAACAAAACCATAACGGTAGGGCCCGCCGTCGCACCATCTTTTCCACAGCCGGATAGCTTGAGCCAGAATTTCTACTTGCGAGCGGCGTCGTAAAATCCCAGCACGTCCGAAACTTCATTCGATTCACTGTCCATGGATGGCCTCTTTTGCTCTGCTGCACGTAAGAATCCCGAGTAAGCTTCCGCAGAAAAAGGCCTTGGCTTTGCCAGACCGGTCTGACGAGGGCAGGAGCTGAAGCCGAAGTTTGCAGACAAACTGCGCACTGAAACTCTGAAGGAGCTCATAATCCCAAAAATTTTCAGACACAACTAATAAGGTGCCAAGAACGCCCTTGCAACACGTGGCAGACAAATTCAAGATGGTGAGATGCCACACCTCTAAACGGCGCGGCCAAGTCCTGCAGACCAATGCTGTCTCGGGCCGTGGAACCGAATATACCGTTGTACTCTGCAGCAACACACGAACACGAACGATACATCAGACTCTCAGAAACCGCCACGGTCAGCTTTTGACGTGGGCGACGCTTCACGTCTCCTCGCCCTCTCGTCCCCTCAATTGCTGCCCGACGAAAAATTGCAGCTGGGAAAACGATCGCAGAGACACCTACGAGAACCATCACTGAAGCTACATGGGCGGCGATTTCTTGAAAGCCGTCACGGGATCAGTCCGCCGACCGCCGAGCATGTCACAACGATACAAGTCGCGCAAGGCCAGCACGTCATCCTTGGCCTCCGCGATGAATTTGCAAGAGTGCGCGAAGTTCGTGAGCAGAGGGTTGGCTTTAGTCTGCTCAACGAAGGTCGGATAGTCAAGGGGCTGGTACACGACCTCCTTCCCTGTTGCAGTCGACATGTGTTCGGCCAGCTCCTTTGCGCTGCAGTGGAACGACGCGTGGCCAATGTCCTTGCCGATCATGGACGGATCATCGAAATGCCCGCCACCACCTGCCCAAAATCCTTCAAGACAGTCCATGGGATTGGTCCATCCCCCAAAGGCCATTCGAAGACGTAAGGGTTTGTTTTGTGTTTGTCTATCAAGGGTTGGTCAATGTAGGGGCTGGGGTACACGAAGGTCGTGGGCAAGGCCGGCTTGTTAGCGAAGAACCTTTGCTGAGCGTTGGCCTTTGCGTCCCACATGGGCACCTTCATGTCATTGGGAGCCAGATCGTACTGCTGGATCGGGATCACCGGAGCATCAGCCATTTTAGGGTGTTTTTTTGCCTCTTCCATCGTTGACATCACCACATGCTTCATGGTACCGAGTTGAGTCAAGCCACCAGCGATCTTTTGGTGCATCACGACCACTTTTCCGGCGTCCTTCGGGTCAGCAGCGTTCAAGAACGCCGCATCCCTTGAACGCCTCCATTGCGCCCTCATGTCCCCCGTGGGTCATGTCCTTGATTTTGCGCACCTCGACCCTTGGCAGCGTGGCAAGCTCCTTGGCCAGCGACGAGCGATCGTCTCGGACCAGCGCAATCACGCTGTGCTTACCTTGCTGCGAAAGTGCGCGCACAACCGCACAACCTTGCTTGCCAGACGCCCCCAGCACCCGCCAGCCTGCGTCACACCCCGATGCATATCCCTGAGCTCTTCCACCGGGTCCGCCAGCTTTCCACCGGCGAGCTCTTTACAGATATTCAAGTCCCTTGTGGCCAAGATGCTTTTCTGGGCCTCCTGGTTCCCGAAAAACTGGCAGAAGTTTGCAATGTCAGCGAAATTGGCAGGGACATCAGCGCACACTTTCTCCCAAATGAACGCCGGGAGCTTGAGACACTTGATCTTCATCCCAATTGCTGTCGACATGTGGTTGGCAAGCTGATCTGCAGTGCAATGGAACGATGCACAGCCAACGGTCTGCCCAATCATCGACGGCCTCTGGAAAACGCCCGCTACCACATTGCCAAGGTCCTTCATGACAGTCCATGCTATCGGCCCATTCCCTGCAGGCAACGGGAAACCGTAATGTCCGTCATCACCCAGCTTCAGAACGAAATTGGTGTTGACAACGTTCAAGCCCGTGTGCACGTACGTCGTGGGCAAGCCCTTGCCATTGAAGACTTCCTGCGCAGGGAGGAACTCCGTCGCCGAGATCACCACATGTTTCATGCCATCAATGCACTTCAAGGCCGCGGCACAGTTCTCGTACTGCTTCTTCATGTTCTCATATTTCCAGCGGCCCGTGGTCCTGTTGTCAGTCCCAAGCACGAACGCCCCATCACAACCGCTGAACGCTGCCTCCAACGACTTCTGGTTGTTAAGGTCACCTTTACGCAGCTCCACCCTGCGCAACGTGGCAAGCTCCTGGGCCTTCTTGGAGTTTGGGTTTCGCGTGATCGCAACCACACTCACGCCCTTCGCGACAAGCGCGTGCACCACCGCGCCACCTTGATGGCCAGTGGCCCCCACCACCGCGATGCAGTGGGGCCCTGGCACGTGCTCGCATCGGCAAGCGGCGCCCATGGTGGCGCGAGGAGGGCTGGATGTTAGGGCGGGGCTCTACGATGCTCTCTCTGAACAGGAATGCTGAGTGAGGACTCGTGGTCTGGACACGCGCATGCTGTCACATGTTTCGTGCGTGAAAAACAAGCTGTTGCCACGTCTTTAGTGCTGTCGCCACGCCTATGTTATCGCATCACCGACATACATGAAGGAACATCAACACTTACAGCGTTCAGAGACGCTCCTTTCAGTAAGCGAGATGCGAACTAAATTCAAAAGATGTTTGAAAGAAATGGCTGAACAGTCACACTGCAGATCGCAGGCATCACACGACATCCTGCAAGTGACAGAGGCCGGGCAAAATGCTTTCCATCAAGAGAAATCCTGCCAGCGTCTGCACGACGGGGAGGAAAATGATGAAGTTGCCGTGATTTCTCGGGATGAAAATCCTGTCTTTGTGTGGATTTTGGGCGGGAATGTCAAGCCGTGGCCACCCTTGCGCACGAAAACAATGCTGCCGTCACGTCCTTCGGGTATGAAACTTTTGGTGAGATTGCAATGTGTCTTATCGCTTTCGCACGCGGAAAACAAGCCGCTGCCACGCAGTTCATGCAGAAAAACCCAGGCTGCCGCCACGGCCATGAGTCATGAGGTTGCCACGTGTTGTTTGGTATCAAAGAGACGGAGGTTGCCGTGACTGGGTGTTCTACCTGCAGTTGTGCTGGCAGGCTGCTCTCTGTAAGCTCACAAGGACTGAGCACTACACTTTTCCAGTGGTGAAATTTCTGAAAGGTTCGGTCACACAGGTTTGTGATCTGAACCGGCCATCCTAGGTGCATGTACACCACAAAGGTTACGCTACGAAGCTTAGAGTAAAGTACGGGCAGAAATGACACACCCGAGCGGAGGCGCATGTGTCCTGCTATTCTCCAATCAGGCCCAAGCCGTGCCAGGAGAATAGCAGGAAGCAGAACAGCGAAAGCTCGTCAACTCAGGTCTGTACCTCTTGCCGTTGCTAAAGAGCCAGCAGCTCATTGAACCAAGAAGGAACGGAAGCGACCGGACAAATGCAGCTTTCCAAGCGGGTTTGCTTTGCAACACTCAAATGCGAGAAATGCAAGAAGGCATGGTGTTCATGCAACAAGTAATGCAGGTGGCGACTGGTATGGCAGCGGCACTAGCAAACTGCATAATGGGAGGCTCGACCAGCAGCTCTTACATGTGACTTTTTTTGCAAAGTTCGCCTGCTAAAGATTTTTGCTTGGTGTCGAGGGTGGGTCTGAAAAATTTGCATGCTTTTCTTGCCAGCACAACTGTGAGCCCAAGTGATTCAGGACAAACATTTTGTAAAGCAAGGGTGAACAAGTACACAAAAACGTTCTACCAACAGTTCTGCTGGCAGGCTGCTCTCTGTAAGCGCACAAGAACTGAGCACTACACGGTTCCAGTGGCGAAATTCCTGAAAGGTTCAGCCACGAACGGCCAAATAAATCTTGCGCCCCGCTGCTGTCCGCCAAGTTTTTTGTGAGGTGCAGGGGTCCAAGTATGGAGCTGGACTACGACACATGTGCATCTGGCGGGAATACCGCTGTGCAACGCCTCGGAAGCCAAAAATTTTCACAAAGAAAATCTAATGCGATGCTCGGAACTGCAGTCCGCGGGAAGGCTGTGTTCCAAAAGTCTCAACAGTGGTGTGGGCAGCCTTCAAAAACCCAACCAAGCGGATGATGATTGGCCTTTATCAAACCTCTGAGACTTCGGGTGATAGCGCGTGCGGTGGTGACAGCAGCGCGTGCAGTGGTGATAGCAGCGCCGTCAGCGAGCGGCTCAAGCAGGTGTGGCAAGTCCAAGCCACGCAGCCTTTTGCAGCGATCCTTCGGCGTGATTTGGGGCAGCAGCAATCGAGTGGTGAGAGCAGCACCGTCCAAAGGCAGCTCAAGAGAGTGCAGCGCATCCAAGCGACACAAGCAGGTTTGCAGCGATCCCGCAGGATAGATCCGTCGTGACTTGGGGCGACAGCAAATACGGCAGCGATTTTGCAGGATGGATCCGTCATGACTAGGGGCAACAGTGCATCCGGTTGTGAGAGCAGATGAGCAGATCCAAGCCACGCAAGCAGGCTTTGCAGCGATCCTGCTGAATGGATCCGTCGTGACTCGGCTTGGGGGCGACAGCAGCACTGTCCAAGGGCAGCTCAAGCAGGTGCAGCAAATCCAGCCACGGACTTGGCTTTTCAAAGTTCCTGCAGGATGATCCGTGCCTGAGCTGCTTTTTTATGATGCTGGCTACCGCCGCCCACCACTATGATGCTGTCCATGAACCATGACGCGGCTCGGCTCTTCCTCGCCATGCAGAACAGCGCGGGCCGCAAAAATGGCCTCCGTAAGAGGAAGCCAACAGCGATATCCCCGCCGAAATCGACTGGAGAGTTTGTGGCCTCTGGGATCTCATCTGTGGCCGGCAAGGCTGATAGTGTGAAAACGCGAAGCAATTCTTTTCACTCCACGCTTGAGCCAAACACCGAAGTGTTCAGCAAGGTCT